GTGGCCTGGGGTGGAGATGTACAGCTGAGTGTCATCAGCGTACTGATGGAAATCCACCCCAAAGCCACGGATGATCTCTCCCAGCGGCTTCACATAAATATTGAACAGAAGGGGAGAGAGGACCGACCCTTGTGGGACCCCGCAAGTTAGGGGCCTTGGGGTCGACCTCTGTCCCCCTGCCAATACAGACTGCGTACAGATGCTAGTGAGTTGGAAGAGGCCATTTAAATGACCAGGACTAACTTGCTCCATGTAGGGATAGCTGGTTGCCTCTCACTCAGTCTGAAAGGCTCTTTCCCAAATTTAAATTCTGTCTGACTCTCCATCCCAAATCCCACCTACTTCTTTGGACCAAGAGACGATTGACCTCCACAACATCAGCAGACATTCTCCCTAGAATAGCGATGACTCCACAGTTGTATTTGTTTCCCCTGAATAGTTGCTGTCAGTTACTCTTCCCGTAGGATGTGAGAGTTTGTCTTAGCAGCTCTGGCTGGTGATAAGAGCTTTCCTAAACCTTTGGCAGTGCTAATCATAGGTCCTCTCTACATTTTGATTCCTAAATCCCAATTTTAGAGATTTTATGCAGAGATTCAAGGAATAGAAGCATCTTGCTACCGATTAATTTAATGTCCGAAAACTATTTTTTTCCCAGGGCTGGAGGATACAATAGCTATTTTATGATGCAACTTATTTAGGATATATATCTACATTTTTTCTTGTCAATCTACACTGTCAGATTTTATTTCCTTAAGGCAGCTGCAAGCTAGTTAAGAGAAACACAGACAATTTAATCAGTGATGAATGCCGAAGAAGATATTTACAAGGCAATAATAATGTCATAAGTACGGTTAACTGGATCTGTTTTATCTTGAAAATCAAAATTAAAAAGGAACAGTAGACTTATTGTTGCTAATTAAAACAACTAATTAAACAACATAATCAAAAATATTCCAAAATAATCTGCAGCATCAAGTCAGCCCAAAGTGTCCTTAGAACACCAACTGGTTAGACTGGCTGAATGCAAAAGTTTGTGTTTTAGGCCAAGATTAACACTCTTATGAGCATCCTCAGGAAGAGAATTTGTGGGAACTGTAATGTATTGAGTAAAGTCTGAGAATTAAGTTGCTGAGAACTGTGAAGAAACGGTTAGCTGGCCACGTGGCCAACAAGCCAGACTTTCTGTTTGCAGACTAATTATTATGCATTTAAGCGGAAGAATACTGTGTTCCTATTGGCTGCTGCCTTTACGCTGAGTGTATAAGTATGGGTGGAGCATTTGCTTGTTAGTTTCGGTTTTGCCTTTGAAATAAAGAGAGTTGTGTTTCACCTACTGCCTCTTCAATGTCGCATCGAACTGAATATTTAACAGGAACCATGCTATACAGGTAAGTCCTCAACTTACAACCACTTGTTTAGTGACCATTTGAAATTACAATGGCACTGAAAAAAGTGACTTATGATCATTTTTCACACGGCCATTGCAACTTCCTCGTGGTCACATGATCAAAATTCGGACACTTAGCAACTGGGATGACGGTCGCAGCGTCCCAAGGGGTCATGTGATCACCTTTTGTGACCTTCTGAGAAAGAAAGTCAATGGGGAAGCAAGATTCACTTAACAACTGTGTTACTAACTTAACACCTGCAACGACTCACTTAACAACTGTGGCAAGAAAATTTGTAAAACGGGGCAAGTTTCATTGTATTTGCAAAAAAGAAAAAGAAAAGCCCAACGTGTCACTTTTCCTCACTCTTTTTGATAGCTCTGTGGTGGTTTAAAAAAACATTATCTCCACCCCAGTTGGAGACCATACAAGACTGCGTATGCATTCGTGGTGTGTGTGTGTGTGTGTCTGTGTGTGTGTGTCTGTGAGGGGGGAGGGAGGGAGATTGAGCTTATTTGCATTTACTCAGGGCCCACTGAAAGCCTTGCTTTCTCGTTCTGAGGCAGTTCTAATCAAGTGTTGTTGATAGCTTGATGAGCACCAATCTTCTCTGGCATTTGCATAACGAAGCACATTTTCCCAGGAGATACGTTTCAAGTGAAGTAAGTGGGAGGGTTCACAAAAGACCTTTTGTTCTCCCTTTAGACTGGCACACATTTTGACATTTCTAAAATTTATTGATTGATTGATTGCATTTCGGAACCGCAAGGTGAGGTGGGGTTCCACTCTCCTGGCCTTCCGGAAAGAAGTCAAAAACATGGGCTCTGCCACCTCGTGTGGGGAGCCCAAAGGAGCATGAAACCGTGGGGCTGGTTGGTGCCCCGAGAGGCCCTCCCTTCACCTTTTCAATTCATTTTTAACAGGACTTAATTATTCTGGCCTCCCTCTAAAAAAAAAAATTAACTCTGAAATTTTAATTCCAGCATTTTAATTTTTAGATATTGTGTTTATATTCTGATATTTTATTGCACCCTGCCCAGGGACCATCTTCCTCAATTGAAAAGGGCACCAACCAGCCCCACGGCTGTGTGCTCCTTTGAGCTCCCCACAGAACATGCAGAGCCCATGTTTTGACTTCTTCCTGGAAGGCCAGGAGAGTGGAACTCCCCCCCCCCCTTTACTCCAAAGGGAGACTCTTCTATAGGGCAGGGGCCACTGGCAGAGAAGGCTCTCTTCCTGGAACCTGCTAGTCAGATTTTTTTATTTCACAGGGTTGGCAACATATCTTCCCTCTTGACTAGCCGATGTAATGGGACAAAGCCGGTTTCATAGGTCGCCTGGCCCATGTCACGTAAGGCTTTATAGATCTCAACCAACACCTTGAATTGGACCTGGAAGCAAACTGGCACCCAATGCAGTTCACATAGCAGAGATGTTACAGGTCTCCTTCTTTTAGCACCCAACATATTCTAGCAATATGGCTGTTTCCTTCTTCCCTTACAAAAAATAAAATAAAATAAAATAAAGTGAGGATGGTGGGTTTTTGTTTTCAAATCTGCCTGTCCATCAAGATTTTTCCAGGAATTGCTAGGCAACTCACCAGGAAATTTTATATTCAAGCGCCACAATCATTTGCCAAGAGAGATTTTAACATAGGTTAAAATAGGATCCGGTCCTAATCCAGAACTTTAAAGAGTGAAGTTAATTGATTATGTTATGATGAACTCCTTATCTTAAGTTATATGTCAAGGCTAAATGCAACAAACCTATCTTATTTATTATTGATCTTTTAAAACTAGCAAGCAAAGGTCACAAGGGCATCTAACGGGTAATGGGATTAAAAAAAGTCAAGATGTCACCAGGGCATCAAAGCCCTGCTCCTTATTTACATGCCTACTTATTAGGGTCCTAAATCATTTTAATTCATCTTTTTCTAGCTTTCTTTTAACATAGACTCCTTCAAATTCATTTACACTAATCTTTTACAAACTTTAAGAATTACACCAATATTACACGCCAGAAAAAAAAGAAAAAAGAAAAATTTGCATTTTCAAACCCACTTTATAAGCACAGAACCAAGTATTAAAACTTTTTTTTCCAATTACATATGTCAGAACTATAAACATTCATCCTAATCTCCGTTAATTTATTACGCTTAAAGCACTCCCTTTGGCTTTTCCTCATAGAATAAAATCTTTTCTTTTTTGGAATGTCTATTAGATAAATATACATTTCTTTTTTTTCCTCAAGAGATTCTCAACCTTGTTAATTTTCATTAAAGAAAAAATCCCCAGCTTTTCTCTTGAGAGCTATAGATTAACTTGCAATTCTTCTTTTCAATTGCACTGGGGGACTTGTAATTAAGCCATCATCATAGCAGACATTGTTGGTATCTGGATTGTATTCCAAAATTGCTTTAAGCCCTTTGCATTGTCAAATACTTGCACAATAACTTCAGTGGTCGTACATTATGACAATCATAAAGTGACCGATATGATTTTATGACTATTTTTGTGGCAGTCATTAAGCAAACACTGTAGTTGTTAAGCAAACCAACAGTTTACAGTAAGCATGATTTCACCCAAAAACTGGAAGTAAATGCCACCTTTCAGCATTGTAAAATAGTCAAATGACTGTGGGAAACTGCAAATGGCTGTAAGGGTGATCTGCTAGGTCCACTGGAACTTCAAACAATTGCTATGTGCCTTGTTGTAAGTTGAGGACTACTTGTAAAAGGGATAGGTAGGCCTTTGACTGTGTGATTGCAGGCACCATCTTGATTTTTTTATCCACCGATCCCTCCCAGAAACCCTGACGGTTTAGAATCTATACAGACCATATTTGGTTCAGCTATAAGCAAAGAAAGAAAAAGAGTTCACATAAAAATCCCAAGGGTCTTTAGAGAGGAGAGAAGACACAATGGTCTAGCCCAGTGATGGCGAACCTATGGCACGGGCGCCAGAGGCGGAACTCGGTGCCCTCTCTGTGGGCACACATGTCATCGCCCCAGCCCCGCCACCCCCCGTGGCCCCCTCCTCATCAGCAGCCCCCCGGAGGAGAGTTGCCCCGAGCGCAGCCTGCACTGAGCAGCGCAGCCAAGAACATGGCAGTTGGGCAGCAGGGACAAGACTCCACTCTCGCGTACAGATGATGCTGCGGGGTGCGGACAGAGGGCATGGCCGCCATGACACTGCTGGGCCGCCTGGGCGATCTGCTATGGCGGGCTGTGGAGGTGGTAGGTGGCCCTGCGGACAGGAGGGGCGGGGCAGAGGCGAGGTGGTTTTGGGACACTCGGTCTCTTAAAGGTTCGCCATCACTGGTCTAACCTGAGGGACAAATCTTCTTGCATCAGACCCCAGGAAAGCCTCCCTTTCCCGTCCAGGTTCCCTGGCTAGTATCACCAACATTCATGTACGTTAACTATGTCCAAACATGCATGTATCTTAACATGTCCTGCTAAGTAAACAAACAACATTAGGAACATAACACTCTCAACCCCCAAGACAAGCATATTGAATTCTGATATGGGGCATCCTTGCTTTTGCCTTGGCTTAAAACATATCTTTTACAAACAGCAACCTCAGTCTGATCTACTGGGGAAGGCCCCGAGCTAGAAAACAAGAGGTTGTGAGTTCTAGTCCCGTCTTAGGAATGAAAACCAGCTGGGTGACTTTGTGAATCACCAGGAGACCGGGAGTTCTAGTCGCGCCTTAGCCATGACAGCCAGCTGGGTTACTTTAGGTTAGTCCCTCCCTCTCTCAGCCCAACCCACCTTGCAGGGTTGTTGTGCAGAAAAAGAGGAAGAGGCAGGATTATAAGGCATGTTCATCTACTTAAGGCAGGATATAAATAAAAAAAAAGGTTCTAGGAGCCAGCTCCATATCTGCTAAGTTCCCATCCTCTTCTGGTTTTCCTAAGAAAGCCAAATCCTCACCCTTCTGAAATATCCCTTTTTTTCTTAACTTGGCTGGCATTGCTGGCTATAACTGGGAAATTATACCATTGTTAACATTACTCACACAACGAGGAGCAAAGGATAGTGCGTGTTTTCCATGAAAACGGCAGGCTTTAAAATTTGCAGTGGCAATTCTGCAAACAGAAGAAAAGAGAAGAAAGGAGGAGAGAAGCATTTAAGCACAGGAAGGCTGTCATTACAATGAACAACCTTTTCTTTCTTTCTTGTTTTTTTTTTTCGGTACTTTTTGGTGGGAACAAAATGCCATTACGGAGAATAGCTCAGCAAATAACAACCTAGCAGAACAGATTCTTTTGGAAAGAAAATTGGCAGTGCTACACAAAAGGCCACACATCTGACACCATGGGTTCTCCGAGACGCTTGGCCATATATCAAACATGCAATTAGGGTGTGCTGATATGTGTTTTTTCCCCCTCTCAGCAAGTGGAGGAATGACAGGGCCTATCAAGCAATCTTTGCAAGGAGAGCAAAGGAAGGAGAAACTCAAAGCAAAATGCAAATCCTCTTCAGCAGAATGGAATAAAATTGTTCTTTTTTTCCTCCACAAGGGATTTAAGCCTGGGCTTTCTTCAAGGCATTTTAAACTCCAGGGCCCGGATTGCCACCTCCTTTGCCCCTTGAAATGATACAAATAAAGAAAAGGGGAGATATAATTGGATGAATTAAGAAGAGAAAATAGTTGCCTTGATGGAAACATGTACCCTAAAATAACAGCTAAGTGTGCTTCACTTTTTCTTAAATGCATATTGGCACAAGGATAAATAGGTTGCTCTCAAGCCTATCCCTACTTTTATTTGGTTTTTAAAACATGAACTGCCAGGTCAATTTACCAAAGGGATAGCAATTAAATTTCGAATTACTGGTATCTGAAGGGCAATAAAGAGCCAAATGAGTTTTAGTGGTATGCCTTTTATTTCATTTGGTTTAATTTATTATTGTATGAGACTTGTAAAAGAGAGTGGGTTTGTAGCTATGATTCACATGGAGATCTCTTGGGTTTACATGCCATCATATTGAAGATGGGAAGGCAGAATATAGAGAATTAAGCATTAAGGCTACTCTTGGAAATCTTTTAGGATCACAAGGAAGGAGTTGTCCACTATATCACTTCATATTTGTGGGTTTTCCCATTTGCAAATACTAAAGGTGAAGAGTTAAATTATGATACCTGTTATGTGTGTTGAATTTTATCCAATGAATCTTGTTTTTTGGAGTTCTTGTGAACAATTCTTAGAGTCCTAGTGGACAATCACTTAAATATGAGCCAGCAGCATGCAGCAGCAGCCAAAAAAGTCAATGCAATCCTAGGCTGCATTAGCAGAGGAACAGAATCAAGATCATGTGAAGTATCAGTACTGCTTTATAAAGACTTAGTAAGACCACACCTGTAATACTGCATCCAGTTTTGGTCACCACAATATTAAAAAGATGTTGAGACTCTGGAAAGACTGCTGAAAAGAGCAACAAAGATGATTAGGAGGCTGGATGTTAAAACATATGAAGAATGGTTGTAGGAATTGGGTATGTCTAGTCTAGTGAAAAGAAGGACTAGAGGTGACAAGATAGCAGGGTTTCAACATCTAAGAGGCTGCCACAAAGAAGAGGGGGTCAACCTATTCATCAAAGCACCAGAAGGCAGGACAAGAAGCAATGGATGGAAACTCATCAAGGAAAGAAGCAACCTAGAATTAAGCAGAAATTTCTAGAAAGTGAGAGCAATTAACCAGTGGAACGACTTGCCTCTAGAACTTGTGGCTGCTCCATCACTGGAGGCTTTCAAAAAGAGACTGGACAACTATTTGTCTAGAATGCTATAAGACCTCCTGCTTGAGCAGGGGGTTGGGCTAGAAGATCTCCAAGCTCCCTTCCATCTTTGTGATTCTGTTATTCTATAAAAAATCACAATTATGGATTCAATCCCAATGTGATTGAATTGATCTGAATTGAATTATGATTCAATCGCAATGTTATTGGAACTGAAATGATGGGAAAGCATAGAATGGAATTAAGGTTACGGAGAAGGCCTCTGGGATGCAAGAAAGAGGAGATGCTGCTTTTCTATTTATTGCAGTTCCAAAATTGCTCCCCCTTTTCCCTTCACCACAGCTGCATTTTCACTGTGGGAATAAAATTTTCTTCCTTCACTAACAGCAACTGTGGGAGAGCAAGTTTTGCCAGAGACAAATATCTTAAGCCTCAATGGAAAAATGAATTGATTCAACCTCGATTGGTGCCTCACATTCTTTTAAAGAAGAAATAACGATGCATATTAAATGTAATCATAAAATTAAAATTATGCTTCAATTGGGGGAAGATTAAGACAGTATGCAGTACATGAAATACAAGTGTCCTCAGGTTGTGACCATAATTAGGGCTAGCAAATATGGTCATAAGTTGTGCCAGTTGTATAATGGGTCACCATATGATCGGACCCACTTTTACGACCTTTTCTGTAGCAATGTAATGATTGTAATGCAAATGCCATTGTTCGCTAGGGAATGATTTTTTGTCAGTTTCCAACAAAAACTTCATAAACCATCTTCCTGTGATTATGGGGTGCTACAAATGTCTCTAAATTCAGGCCTGTTACTGAGTACCTAAAATAGGGTCATGTGACCACAAGAGCTGGCAACACTACAGTTTTAAAACTGAATTGCAAGTCCATTTTGGGGAGACTTTCATAACTTTTAACAGTCATTGAGTGACTGGTCATAAATCAATAATTGCAAGAGTTTTGAGTAGGAAACAGATTTCTCTGAACTCATGTCAACTTATTCTAATTTATTCTAATGTGATTTTTAGCAGGTTTGTCAGAATCTTATCTGAAAAAACAAAATATAAATCAGAACTGCAGTCGTGCAGTGGTAGATCAGTTTTCAAGCACCGATGTTTCTTCTATCACATTAATAACTGGATGGTTCCTTTGGTAGAATAGAACAGAACAGAACAGAACAGAACAGAACAGAACAGGACGGAACAGAATAGAATAGAATAGAATAGAATAGAATAGAATAGAATAGAATAGAATAGAATAATAATACTTCTTCTATCACATTAATAACTGTATGGTTCCTTTGGTAGAATAGAACAGAACAGAACAGAAGAGGACGGAATAGAATAGAATAGAATAGAATAGAATAGAATAATAATAATACTTCTTCTATCACATTAATAACTGGATGGTTCCTTTGGTAGAATAGAATAGAACAGAACAGAAGAGGACGGAATAGAATAGAATAGAATAGAACAGAACAGAATAGAATAATAATAATAATACTTCTTCTATCACATTAATAACTGGATGGTTCCTTTGGTAGAATAGAACAGAACAGAATAGAATAGAATATCCACGGTCTAGTACTTCTGTAATTGTTCTGTGATGTCGCATGTGTGTACAAAAGGGGAGGATCTTGTGAGATGATGGCCCATGGCCATTTTCATTATTTTGACAAGAGTTTTTGGTTCTGCAGAAAACCTCCATTTCTTAACTAATGAAAAATGTCTCTATCAATGGAATGGGAAGATAGAAACAAAGAAGGCAAGGCAGATGGTTTACAGATGGGCAACAGGATGGCAAATATTTGCCCATTATGGAAGCAGTACAATAACAGGAGTGTCTTGCAGGAGATCTAAAAAAACTGAAGTGGGTGGCCCCAACTTTGTGTGCACGACACCCCATTCATTTTCACATGCTACCACTCAAAAAAAGGGGGGGCGGGTGAGACTTTGACAAATGGTTTGACCATTCTCAACTTTTTTGAGCTCTCTGAGGACATTCTTAGCAAGTAATAAGAGTATTAAACCCAGGATGCTGATTAATATATTGCACGGAATCAAAATACACCAAAGTCTTGTGAGGGCCAGTTTAGTCTAGTAGTTAAGGCACCAGGCTAGAAACTGGGAGTTCTAGTCCCACCTTAGGCATGAGAGCTGGCTGAGTGACTTTGGGCCAGTCACCTGGAGACTGTGAATTTTAGACCTGCCCTTGAGTTATTTATAAAAATAATAACAGCAGAATATAAATAAACAAGCAAATAAATGTTGGGTTGCTAGATTTGCTCTTATGTTATAGCTATGGATACATTCTGCTTTTGTTCTGGGGGCTGCTACCCATCTTACTGATTTGAATTTCTACTTTAGTGCTTTTTTTTAGTGACATTGTGCTTTTATCTATTTTTTTTTTAAAAAACTGACCCACTAGAATATGAGTTTTTCTAAATTAAAAGATGAGATTATAAACCCTTAAATTCAACAGCGAAAATAATCAGAGTAGCTTACTGTAATCCTGAATCTTGATATCCAGATATTCCAGCTTGGGCATCTGTCGTTCTGCAACTGTCTTCTGCACTCTGGCATTTACTTCTAGATCAAAAAGTTCTGGAACAAGGAATAGGAAAGAGTCTCCTATCAGATGAGGAATTAACCAATTATACCCTGACTGAAAGCATCACTATTTCTATGAAAGAAAGAAAGAAAGAAAGAAAGAAAAAAGAAAGAGGAAAGAAAGAAAAGAGGGAGGGAGGGAAGAAAGAAAGGGAGGGAGGGAAGAAAGAAAGGAGGGAGGGAGGAAAGAAAAGGGAGGGAGGAAAGAAAGAATGAAAGAAAAGAGGGAGGAAGGAAAGAAAAAAAGAGAAAGGGAGGAAAGAAATAAAAAAGGGAGGGAGGGAGGAAAGAGAAAAAGAAAGAAAGAAAGGAAGGAAGCAAAGAAAGAAAGAAAAAAGAGGGAGGGAGGAAAGAAAGAAAGAAAAAAGAAAGAGGAAAGAAAGAGAGGAAAGAAAGAAAAAAAAGAAAGGGAGGAAAGAGAAAGAAAAAAGGGAGGGAGAGAGGGAGGAAAGAGAAGGGGAGGAAAGAAAAGAGGAAGGGAAGAAGGAAGGAAAGAAAAAGGAAAAGAAAAGAAAGAAAGAAAAAAGAAAGAAAAGAAAGAAAGCCCAGTATTTTCATTATGGAAGATTTGAAGCTAGCTGTTCATTTTTGAAAAGGCAGGTTCTACTACTACATTTTCTACTACATTCAAAGTTACAACAGCACCGAAAAAAGTAATATATGACCAGTTTTCATACTCATGACCATTTCAGCATCCCCACAGTCAGGTGATCAAACTTTGGGTGCCTGGCAACTGGTGTGTATTTATAACGTTTGCAAGTGTCCCAGGGTCCTGGGATTGTCATTTGCAGCCTTCTTAGGGAGCTTCTTGAGCCGAAGATTTCCATTGCTTATCAAGACAGCTGTTGATTGAGTTGTGCCCCATTTTACACTTTTTGTCACGGTGGTTAAGTGAATCACTGCAGTTTTTAAGTGAATCATGCATTCGTTAAACAAATCTGGCCTTGGGTAATGAAACATCTGCAAGCCAACAACCAAACTCAGAGAGCACAAAGGACTCTACATAGTTCTTCATATTGGAAGGCATGTTTGAGAACTAATAGAGCATTTGGGGGAAATTTGTTTATGCATCAGCTTCCTTATAAGCCAGTTATGAACATCAGCCAGTTTGATCTAGCGGTTAAGACATCAGTGGGAAAGCACGAGTTCAAGTCCCACCTTAGCTACGAAAGCCATTGGGGGAGATTTTGAGCCAGTCACTCTCTCTCAGCCCAACCCACCTCATAGTTGGTGTTATGAGGAAAATAGGAGGAGAAGAGAATGGAAGAATCCACGAAAGGAGTAAGAGTGTGTACAACCTGCTTTGAAAAGTTTTGATCTGGGAGCCAAGTTGCACGTCCATCTGGGCTGAGACCAAATCGAAACTCGGGCAGGATCCAGCCCAGCGGAGGTGTGGCAACTTGACTGATTTTGTCTAATTAGGGCTGGAGGACACACTTAACCATTCGTGGATTCTCCATTCTTACATGCTGGAGAAAGATATATTGGATATGTTCACTGCCTTGAGCTATTTGTAAAAAATAAAAATAAGGCAGGGAAATGTTGATTCTTTTTCCTCCCAATACTCTTCTACCACATCCTCAGCCCACAAGTCTGTCTCTAGTGAAGCTGCATTGCAAAACCACCCTGTTCCAAATACTGATTTCTCTCTCTCTGTGGATATTTCAGCTGGTAGATATAAGGGTCCCATGCTAAAAGTTCTTCCTGAAAATCTCCTTCTCATTTTTGTTGCAATCATAACTCCTATAAAATGTCAAAGCATCAAACAATTAAGTCTGATTGCATGCTGGAATCCTCATTTAATTATCACTTGCTCAATTAGCCTTATCAGCACAAGGAGGCTGGCCCGTCTGGGACTCAAGAGCAGCCATTCTGTTTGCTCCCGTAATTGCATTCGCAGAAAGCAAGGACAGGCGAAATAAGAGCAGCCTGACAGATCTAAAGATTTCTGGATGCATCTCCCAAAACCGTTAACCCGCTGGGAATCCTTGCCTGCGCTGTTCAGACAACCAGTCCTTAATTAAATATAAGCAGATGGTAATATTGGGTGGGATTCATAGTTATCAGATTATTGTAGAAGACTCTCTCATATTATGAAATAGAATTATTTTGTGAATAAGGGGTGCTTACAATAGTTCCTTCTATTCATTACAGCGAGAGAGACCTGCATAATGAGAGCACTGCGTCCTTAATCACATGCACAAGACCAGAGGGAAAACTGCTTCCTATCTACCGATAACCTTTTATTCATTCTCTATCTTTCCCAAGGTGCCTCTTTTGCCCTTCTCTACCCTCAGTTCCTCTGCTTTCCAGCATGCATGCAGACATTTATTGATTTTGGCATTTATTTTATGAACTGGATCAGGCCAACAGACCCTTTTTTTTTGCCGAATATGTGGTCTCCAGTATACTCCTGATTTTGAACATCTACTCGCTTTGAATCTTTTATTGCAAAATTAGACATTAGAGAAATGTAAAACCCAACCCAACATAGAGTTGTATTTTTTCAGCCTACATATTTCCCATCCTTGTCCCCCCCCAAAAAAAATCTGGTGCTGTGTGGAAAAAATAGGATTCCTTCTTCACCTTCTTTATATATTTTTTAAAAAGCAGGGACAGTGATCAAGCGAGAGTATTTACAGGCAAGGTGATAAAATACTCAGGCCACTTACCTACCCACCTTGCTTCAGCATTATTCCAAAAACCCAAACTTTTGTCCTTGAAAATTTTATTTATTTATTTATTAAATTTATATGCTGCCCATCTCAATTGTAAAAACAAGTACAGTGTTAAAACATTAGATATCAAAATAAACAGATATTAAATAAGTTAAAAAGCAGAATGCAAGAGGGTGGAGATCGGATCTCCTTCCTAAGTCCACTAACCACTTTCAACCACCTTCATTATGGTCCCAGGCCTGTTGGCAGGGCTAGATTTTGATGTTGTTATGGAAGGCCAAAAGGCTGAGGGCAGATCTCACCTCAAAGCAGACCTGGGCATTTTATCGGTCTCAGTTCTTTGGCTGTCCCTGTCGGCTTCACAGGAGGAGGTCAATTGGTAGTTATAAAACAAAATATATAATAATAATAATAATAATAATAATAATAATAATAATAATAATAATAATAATAATAATAATAATAATAATAATAATAGTAAAGTTGGAAGGGACCTTGAAGGTCATCTAGTCCAACCCCCTGCTCAGGCAGGAAACCCTATACCATTTCGGACAAATGGCTGTCCAGTCTCTTCTTAAAAACTTCCAGTGTTGG